ATCTACTTGCATGGGGGTGACTTTGTACTTTTCAGTGCAAAAAACTGTCATCTTTCATGAATTTTGTAACCAAATCTTGACTAGGTTTTCGACAGTGGTGGCGTCAGTCAAGTACCGGCTTGCCCTCGAGCACAAATAAAAAACAGAAAATCGAAGATGATGAAGATGAATTTGAACTCTTTATTACTTGAATTTCAATATTTTATAGAGCCACCTAATACGCCTATTTATACTAGAGAATGAATTACATACAATTATCACAATCAATTCTTTAACGGTGGTAACATGCTCCATGAATCAAATCCCTGAAATCAAGGATTGTTGGTGAAGCTGAACACGAGTCAGTTGGAGGAGGTGTACTGCCATATTCCCCTTCCTTCAGAATTCTGGTAAGGTAAAGTCGCACTTCTTGTTTTTACGTTTTTCTCTTCACTTGATTAATTGCTTCTTTAGTCCTTGCCTTTTCGTTGGATGCATTTTGTTCCTCTGAATTTTCTTTTCTAACAGCCCCCTTCAAGCTGGAGGTAATCTCTGTAACTCCAAGCTTGCTTCGTAGATATAGGTATCTAGAGTTCAACAACGGTTTGGTTAAGATGTCTGCAATTTGATCTGTTGTTGGAACATAGCTGATTGTGAGTTGTTTAGCTAATACTTTATCATGAACAAAGTGCACATCAAGTTCAATGTGCTTGGTTCGTGCATGATAGACAAGGTTGGAAGCTAGAACACTTGCTCCTGGATTATCGCATCGGATTCTGGGAATTTTTGTCTGATTAATGCTAAGTTCATGTAATAAAGACTAAATCCGTACAATTTCTGCAGTGGTGTAAGCTAATGTCCTATACTCCGCCTCAATGCTAGACCATGCCTCAACTTGTTGCTTTTTAGAGCATCAAGAGATTAAGTTCCCTCCAAGGTATACGCAATACCCCACATTAGACTTCCTGTCATTTGGGCATGAGGCCCAATCTGCATCACCATAGGCAATTATGTTGAGATCCTATGTTTCTTAGATTAATCATCAGTCTTATATCAAGTGTTCCTTTGATATACCTGAACAATCGTTTCAATAGGTTCCAATGTGCATTAGTAGGACATTGAAGATATTGGCTGATTCTATTTACTGCAAACGTGATATCAGGCCTAGTGTGCGTTAGATATTGGAGAGCTCTTACAGCACTTCTGAAATTAGTAGGATTCTCTAAAATCTGTCCTTCAGTATTGGCAATCAGTTTTCCAGCAGCCATTGGTGTAACACTTGGTTTCAAGTTTTCAAAACCAAACCTTTTTGAAGTATCAATAGCATATCATTTTTGTGTCATGTGTAGGTCAATTTCATCTCTGTAAAACTCAATTCCCAGAAACTTCTTCAGGCTTCCCATATCTTTCAGTGCAAAAGTTGTATTCAACCTTTCAATTAACTTCTGTACTCTTGTAGTGCTGCTTCCCGTTATCACGATATCATCGACATAGACTAGCATATAGATCACTGACTCTTGAGTAACCTGATAAAAACTGAGTTGTTAGCCTTTGATTGCATAAGTTCCCATCTCAGCAATGCCTCTTTCAGTGTATCATGCCAAGCTCTGGGAGCTTTTTTAAGCCCATAGAGAGCCTTGCTAAGTTTGCACACAAACGATGGTTTACTTTGATCAACAAAGCCTTGAAGTTGTTAACGTTTCATAATAGTCAATGCCTAATGTCTGCAAGAAGCCTTTCGCCACTAATCTGGCTTTATATCTCTGAATTTCTCCATTTGTATCATGCTTCAATTTATACACCCATTTGCAGCCTATTACCTTCATTTTAGACTTTGTAGGAAACAACACCCAGGTGTTATTTCTTATCAGTGCTTCATATTTTTCCTTCATAGCTTGGTGCTGTTTTTCACTTCTTAAGGCTTCGTGAACACTCACTGGTTCTATCTCATCAATTGAGCTTGTAGTAACATCACATAAATTTTTGGTTTAAAGATTCCTGCCTTAGACCTGGTTACCATAGGATGTTCTGTTAACTGTTTGTTTTCTGGTATAGAAGACTCATCTCTCAACCCATTTCTGTGTGCTGAAGACTCAGCTTGAACATCAGTCTGTGTGCCATTTCATTTAGTCTGTTGCATAACAGATCCTTTATCATTTTCCATCACCCTCACTTTCAGCAAGAGGCTCTTATATAAGTTCTTCTGTGAGGGGGATTATATCAATAGGTTCTCTGATTCCTCTGTAAGGATTTAGCTCAGATGAGTTAGTGGGTAGCTTGTAGGAACTGATATCATAAGGTAGATGGTAAGGAATGATGGAAGGATACTTGTCTGAAGATTTTTGTTGAGAAAGCCACTTTGGAATGGAAATGAGTTTTCATCAAAGATGACATGCCTGGATATATAAATTCTACCACTAGGACTTAAGCATTTGAACCCTTTGTGAGATAAACTAGGACCTAGATAGACACATTTCTGGGAATGAAAATCAAATTTATGCCTTTGGTATGGTCTTAGGAAAGGATAACAGGAGCATCCGAACACTTTAAGTAGTTGATAATCAATGCAGTGCTTAAATATGAGTTCATATGGTGATTTGTGTTGAAGTGTCAGACTAGGCATCCTATTTATGAGATATGTTACTGTTAAGAAAGCTTCCCACCAATAATAGAGAGGCATATGTGCTTGGGATAGCAAGGTCAATCCAGTCTTAATGACATGTCTATGTTTTCTCTCGACTCTTCCATTTTATGCTGATGTATGTGGGCAAGAATATCTTAGTTCAATCCCTGATTCAAAGGTTATTTTATCTAAGTTTTTATATTCTCCCCCCATGTCTGATTGAACTGTTTTAATCTTCCTTTCAAACTGATTTTCAGCGAGGTTTTTAAACTGTGTAAAGCGGTGGATAACTTCAGACTTGTGTTTTAGAAAATAAATCCAGGTATACCTAGTACAA